ACTGGGGGAGCCTAGGCAGGGGCTCTACCACTGAGCCACACCCCAGCCCTTTTTCCACCTCTGTTGTGGTTTAGTTCCTTTTTTCCTTTTTTTGGTTTGTTTTTCTGAGACAGGATGTCACCATTCGTGCCTGGTAGGCTCCCCCTCCTCACTGCTGTGCCTCAGTTTCCCCTTTTCTGAAATTATAGAGAATGACACCGGACCCTGGATCCTCTCGCCCTCCCTTGTGTTTGTGCCCTGTGCACACTGCCTGAGCTGTGTACAGCTGGACTGGCTTGAGCTGTCTTTGGCTGCCAGCTCCTGGGCTGAGGCGGAAACAGAAATAACCTGCTGTGCACACCTAAGAGGATGGGATGGGGGCAGGAGAGAGAGATGTGAACTCACAGCCGGGGAGAACAAGGCTGAATTGGTGACCACAGAGAGAGAAAGGAGAGGGAAGGAAACAACGAGGCCGGCCGGGATGGAGACAGACAGACAGACAGACAAGAACAGGAGGCAGAGACAGGGAGGGGGGACCAGAGAGCACTGTGTGCACACGCAGAGGCCGACAGAGAGTAGGAGACACCCAGACACAGGAAGGATGAGCGCATGAGGGTGTGAGGCGGGCTCAGGGGTAGGGCCCTTGCCTGGACCCCCAGTGAGCACGAGTGTGCCCCGAACAGCCCCAGGGTGAACCCGTGTGCAGCACGCCGACTACCAACCGTGAAGAACAGGCGGGACACGTGAGCGAGGGAGAGGAGGAGGAAGCAGGAGCCTCCCGGGAAACACGCCGGATGCCCGGCCCAGCAGACACTCGTGTGGTGTCCGGGTGTGCCTGGGCGTGCCCCCGTCCCCCTGCAGCCATGTGTCACTCAGTGGGGCCATCGTGTGTGCCACGGGGTGAGGCACCCCTGGGTGTGTGTTTGTCACCGGGTGTGTCCGCGTGTGTGGCTGGGAGTCTCCGGGCGTGTCTGGAGGGCTGTGTTGGTGCCAGACACGTCTACCCGTGGGCATCCCGTTTCGGTGTGGCCGGCGGCCCCGGGTTGCCACAGGCAGGGGAGGGGCTTTCGGGTGGTTCTCTGGCTGTGGGCTTGAATCATGCCGTGCGCCCGGGCACTAGGGGGCACGCCAGTAAGCGTTGGGAGTCACGGTCAGGAGTGTGCGTGTTTGGGTCGACACATAACCACAGGAGTCACTGAGAGCGTGTGCCACCCTGCTCGGTTCACACCCGCAGCCCTGGTGTGGGCGAGCGCCGAGCGCCGGTGCCCAGACTTCCACGATGGCTGTGTCCATCCCTGTGTGTGTGCAGCGCTCGGGGGCCAGGCCGTGGTGCTGGGCTGGTGGACTGCTCCACCCGTGCTCCCCAGGCTGACCCTGAACTGCTCACACTCAGGGCTGCCGTCACGCTTACAGAGCGCTGTTCGAGATTAATGCTCGTGCGTGTGAGTGGGAGCCAGTGTGGGAGCCCTCGGAGGTGCCCGAGGGTGGAGGTGCCCGAGGGTGCCACGTGCCCTGGAGCCGCAGCCGCGGGCGCAGTCACTCCCCCAAGGGGCTCTCTTGCTCCCTCTTCACCGCTGTCCTCCAGCCGTGAGCGCTGCGTGTGAGTGTGCGCACAGCCTTCGGGTGTCCGAGTGTGCCCGGGACTATGCTGCCCTGCTGAGCGCTGTGTGTGTGTGCGCGTGTGGGCGTGGCTGTGGCTTCCGAACTCTCGGGACTTGTGAGTCACTTCTGTGGAGGTTGTGCGGTGTGCCCTGGTGTGCCGGGCCATCTCCGGTCTGGTCTGCCGTGGCGCCCGCGGTGTACGGGGGCGGCGGGCCGTCGGTGCACACGGGAGTGCAAACGGCTGGAGAGCGCCCGTGCCCACGTGTCCGGGGCGCAGACACACCCGCCCCGCCCCGCCCTCCCGGGGCACCCGCGCGGCCCCGGGGCCCCAGAGCTAGCAAGCTGGCGGCCGTGTGCGTGCTGCGCGCCGGGGGGCCCTGGGCGGGCGGCTGGCTGCGCCCCAAGAGCGCGGGGGCCATGGGCGGGGAGCCGCCGCGGGGCCTGGGCGCCCTGAGCGCCCTGAGCCGCCGCCAGCGCCTGCTGGAGCAGGAGACGCGCGTGGCCGGCTGGGCGCTGGCGCTGGCCGCGGCGGGCACCGGCCTCATGGTGCTGCACGCCGAGGCGCTGTGGTTCCTGGGCTGCAGGGTGAGTGCTCGGCACGGCGGGGGTGTCGGGCCGGGGTGTGCGCCCCGAGTGTGAGGGGGGCCGGGGTGTGCGCCCCGAGTGTGAGGGGGGC